TCGCTTTTCGCCCTGCCGACCTTGCAGCAGCTGACCTACTTGGAGGGGCGGTCGGTGAAGCCCGCGACGTACAAGGACTACCACCGCCGAGCCCTGGCCTTCGTCCAGTGGGCCACGGCAGCCCGCCAGGGTTGGGAGAACTACGAGCAGCTGGACCTCTGCCTGGTGCTGTTCCTGGACAAGCTGTTCTTCGGGGGCTTCACTGGCGACGACGCGAGCAAGCTGGTCGCCGCGGTGAAGTTCTTCTACCCAGACCTCGGCCGCTGGGGCGTTGCGGCGCTCCCGCGCACATCGCGGGCCCTGGCAGGATGGGGCAAAGTCGTGCCGCGCCGGTCACGGATGCCGTTGCCCTGGGTCTTGCTGGCTGCGATCATTGGCGTCCTGTTGCACCGGAACCTCGTGGAGCATGCTGTGGCACTCCTGGTCTCGTTCGCGGCCTACCTTCGGCCAGGCGAATGCGACTCGCTCACGTCGCTCCAGCTGGTCGCCCCCGTCGCGGCGGCCGGAGGGGCCGCGGACGTCTGGGGCCTGCTGCTGGCGCCGGTGGAGCTGGGCAACCCCAGCAAGACCAACAGCTGGGACGACGCGGTGCTCCTGGACTCGATCCCGTTTGTGTACCCCTGCCTCCTGGTCTTGAAGCGCCAGTGCCAGTCGTCAACGGACCGCATCTGGAGCTACCCGCCCGGGGACCTCTCGACCAGGCTGGCGGAGGCGGCGGCAGAGCTCCAGCTGACGCACCTGGGGATCACGCTGTACGGGCTTCGCCACGGGGGAGTGTCACACGACATCCTGCACCGTCTGCGGACCCCGTTGGAGGCAAAGCTCAGGATGCGCGTGACGTCAGACTCGACCCTGAAACGGCACGCCAAGCAGACAAGGGTGGTCTCGGAGCTGAGCAAAGCGCCGCCGCTGGTAGTGACCTTCGGCAACCACGTCTCGTCCCTGCTCGCCGCGTGTTCGCCGGCTTGGCCTCGGTGCCGAGCCCGCCCGTGCTGCCAGGCAACCAGGGTGCTCTGAGGACAGACTGAGCGATCGACAGGTGGCCGCCCGAATGCGCTCATTGCTCAGGGCAGCGCTGTCGGCTGCCCGTCGCAACAAACGACAGATTTTTCTAGAGCTCTTTGCAGGCTCCGAGGGGCTCAGCCGAGGGGTGAAAAATCTGGGGCATGGTGTGATCGCTGCTGACATCGTTTCTCGTCCGTGGTTTGATTTGGATCGGCCTGTCATCCAACGCACCCTTCTCGGCTGGGTCTCCTCAGGGCTCGTGCTGGCCGTCTGGCTCGGCACCCCTTGTAACACGTGGTCCCAGGCGCGCCACGGCCCCCCAGAATCCAGCTGGTGTGGACTTCGTGCACCAAATGCAATCTGGGGGCTCCCAGGCCTCCAGGGCCGAGCCTTGGCCGCGGCACGACACGGCAACAGTCAGGCAATCTTTTCTCTGAAAGTCACTCGAGCCTGTCTGCGTCTTGGGACCCCTGCCTTCCTCGAGAACCCTGCCTCCTCCTTCTTGTGGTCTGTTCCCCCTCTCTTGAAACTCGCCTCTCACCCTAGCTCTCAAAGCCTTGTTTTTGATTTCTGCGGGTTCGGGACCCGATGGAGGAAACGCACTCGTGTCCAGGCGTGGTGCAGCGGATTCAGAATCCGCTTGCCCAAGTTGTGTAATTTGCGAGGGGGAATCTGCGCTCACACGCACAAGCCCCACATCGTCCTCACTGGTCGCGACCCAGCCTCTGGAAAGCTCTGGACCCAGGTCGCGCAAAGGTACCCCAGGAGGATGGCCAACAGCTTTGCTTCCGCAATCATGCGTACCGTCCAGAGCCTGTACCTGGCCCGAGTGCAACAAATGATATCCATTTAATCGTTTTGACGGCATTTTGCCAGTAACCATCTTGGGACTTGGGGTCCCTCTCCTTCCCCTTCCTCGTCGGTGGTGGTGGTGTGTCCTCCTTCCTGCTCCCTTTCCTCCCCCACTGCCCGCTCTCTTTGGCATGGGTCGGTCCGTGTTCAGTGATCTCTCGCCTGGACTGCGAACACAAAAACGTTCTCTGGCACGGGTGGCGCGCAGGATGGGTGTTCTTGAACTATAATCCTGGGGCAGAATGAGTGCCGCTGGACATCAATGTCCATCTCGGAGTTGCGGGATAAGGTCATCTTTATCTGCCTCCGCAGCCTTTTCTCTCGCCCGCCCTCCCTCCCCTTTTCCCCCTCCTCGTCGGTGGTGGTGGTGTGTCCTCCTTCCTGCTCCCTTTCCTCCCCCACTGCCCGCTCTCTTTGGCATGAGTCGGTCCGTGTTCAGTGATCTCTCGCCTGGCCTGCGAACACAACAACGTTCTCTGGCACGGGTGGCGCGCAGGATGATGATGATGATGATGATGATGATGATGATGATGATGATGATGATGCTGATGATACCGATGATGACTATGATGATGACAATGATGCTAATGCTGACAATGAGGATGATCATGATGCTGATGATGCTGATGCTGCTGCTTCTGATGATGATTCTGATTACCATGATGATGATTAAGTTTATGCTGATGATGATGCTGCTGCTGCTGCTGATGATGATGATGATGATGATGATGATGATGATGATGGTGTTGCTGCTGCTGATGATGATGCTGAGGCGGAAGAGGAGGAGGAGGAGAAGGAGGAGGAGGAGGAGGAGGAATAGGAAGAGGATGAGGAGGAGGAGGAGGATGAGGAGGAGGATAAGGAGGGTAAGCAGACTGACAAATGGACAAGGGACACGCGTGGGCTCAATGGAGCAGCAGGGTAGGAAGAGGAGGAGGATGAGGAGAAGGAGGAGGAGGAGGAGGAGGAGGAGGAGCAGCAGCAGCGGCAGCAGCAGCAGCAGCTGGGAAGGATGGAGGAGGAGGATGGAAGGATAGGAAGAGGGTCAAGGAGGAGGGACGGAGGAGAACGGTGACGGATTGAGGACGATGGGAAGGGAGGGTTGGGAGGAGGAGGAGGAGGAGGAGGAGGAGGAGGAGGAGGAGGAGGTGGAGGAAGGAGGAGGAGGAGGAGGAGGAGGAGGAGGAGGAGAAAAAGAAGGGGAGAAGTGGAGAAGGAAGCTTGAGGAGGGTGAGTGGAGGAAGGTGCCCACAAACCCGACGTGATTTAATGTGTTTGCCCAGCTCTACGTTCTCGTTTGTTTGTGCCTTCGAAGTGTGCGGACCTCTTCCCATGGCGCCGTTTTTCTCGTTCGGTTTGTCCTGTGGTTGTTCTCTGACGGCCGTGGCACTGTCTGGGCCATGGAAGGCCGAAGCGGGGGGGGATGGCCTGACACCGTCCGCCGTGTTTTTTGTTCCCAGGCGTGGGGGATGCGGGGGGAGGAGGAGGGGATAGGGGGAGGGGGAGGGGGGGGGAGGACCGGAGGGAGATAGTGAGGGGAGGAGGAGGAGGAGGAGGAGGAGGAGGAGGGAGGAGGAGGAGGAGGAGGAGGAGGAGGGGTGATAGGGCGTGAGTGGGGGGGCGGAGAGGGGCAGGCGACGACGGCGCAGCCTCCCTTCAGGCTTCCCTCTATCCCCGAGCCACATGATCCAGGCCTAGGCGGCAGGGGGGCCGTGTGCCGCGCTCCCTTTCCCCCCGCCCTCCCTCGCTCCCTCCTCCTCCCCTCCCCCTCGAAGATCAGCGACAAACGATATGGGGGGAGGGCGATATTCAGAGGTTCGAGGTTGAAGATTCCTCCTTCTCACTCCTTCCTCCTCATCCTCTCCTTCCTCTCCTCCTCCTCCTCCTCCTCCTCCTCCTCCTCCTCCTCCTCCCTCGCGCCCTCCCTTCCTCCTCTGAAATCCGACGTTTCGAGAACATGATTGCAACCTTGCGGAAAATCACTGCCCGAGGCTTGGACCTGATCTTTCTGATGCATTTTTCGAGCCATGTCGATCTATGATGGCCCCAGGACCCGAAACAGGGCGAAATGACCCTGCGTGAACAAGTTGCAACGCCGCGACGGAACTCACGGGGCGCAGGTGCCCGCGAGAGGGGTGCTGGCCTGTGGAGGTCTTCGTCGTCGCTGTCGCTCGCGGCAGGCCCCGTCCTCTGCCGCGTACTTCGGACCACCAGCGTCTGCCCCGGCGCTCGCAGGAGAGCCGGAGCTCAGGGGAGGAAAAGGTACCCATACCTCTACCCTTCCCTGGTTCCCCCCTCTTTGGGCGTCCTGGGCGGCCCTCGTCGCCACCGGTGGGTTCGCCTCGAAATCCTGGTCAGAACGCACCCCCGGGAGAGGTCCGGGGAGCAGCGGTATCGGTACCTCTTGATTTCCCCTGGAGCCGCCAACTGTGCACGCCCGGGCGCCCAGGAGGGGGCGCCAAGGGCGTTCCCGAGGCGATATCCGGATCTTCCCTTTCCCCAGAACCGGTGCTTCATCCTGAGTGCTTCTTTCACCGTCCTGGGGCCCGGCAAGGGGTAAGGGCTCCCAGAGTAGGGGGCCACATGTGAACCCTACCCTTACCCCCCACGATTTCCGAGGGGGAGGGTGGGGTTCACGTCGTTCGGGAGCTCCCGAGCGAAGTAAACCCCACCCTCCCCTCAAAAATCGTGGGGGGTAGGGGTAGGGTTCACATGTGGCCCCCTACAGAGGCCCAGAACGCCCAAGCACCTCCCGTCCTGAGTTGTTGGGCGCGAGCAAGTCTGGGCCCTTCGCCTGCTCCATTCTTCCAGAGCTCTTCGGCTGCAGCTCCTGGGAGGTCAAATTCTGATTTTACCCTGGTCCAAAATATCCGGCGCAATCCCATTTAATCTCGCTTAATCCGGCCTAATTCCGCCTAATCCCGCTCTTAACCCGAGGCCCACTCCAGCGTAACAGCCCCCCCAATGGGGCTTCATCCTTTCTCATCCTTCCGACGAAAAAGCCTCCCAGTAGTTGCCTCCTGAGATCTCCGACGCCGGGATCCCAGGATTCCCTCTTTCCCCCCGCCCCCTCCTCGTGAACCTCTCTGCCGCTGGCCGGCGCCCCCTGCCGCTGGCCCGGGGCGCTCGGCTCGCCCGCGCAGGCGCTGCAGGGCCAGACCGGCACGCGCATCTGGGTGGATGTCGAGGCCTCTGAGGCGCGCCGCGGGCAGACCGACGACCGACGACGACGACGACGACGACGACGACGAGGACGACGACGTCGACGACGACGACGATGAGGACGAGGACGACGGCGACGATTACGACCGACGGCGAGGACCACGACGATGATGACGAGGACGACGACGATCACGACGACGACGACGACGACGACGACGACCGACGTCCAAAGTCCAACGACCGACGACCGACGACCGACGACCGACGACCGACAACTTTCGACCGACGATCGACGACGACGACCACAAAGACAAAGATGACGACGACGACGACGGACGACGGGCGACGACGACCGACACCAATGAAGACGGACGAAGACGACAACGACAACCACGACGAAGACAAGGACGAGGACGACGACGACGAAGATGAGGACGAGGACGACGACGACGACGACCACGACGACGACGACGACGACGACGACTACGACCGACGACTGGCGACGACCGACGAGCGACGACGACGAGGACGACGACGACAATGACCGGCACCAACGATGACCGACGACCGACGACCGACGACCGACGACGACGACGTTGACGACGACGACCACGACGACGACCACAACGACGACGACGACGACGACCGACGACCGACGACCGATGACGACCAACGACCGACGGCCGACGGCCGACGATCGACGACGACAACGACGACGACGACGAAGGACGACGGACGACGGGCGACGACGACCGATACCAACAGCGAACGACGATCACAACCACGACGACGATAAGGACGACGAGGACGACAACGACGACGATCACGACGACCACGACCGACTTCCGACGACCGACGACGACGACGACCGACCAACTGCCGACGACCGACGATCGACATCCGACGACCGACGATCGACGACTAACGAGAACGACGACGACGACGGACGACGGACGGATGACGACGACCGACACCAACGACGACCGACGACGGCGACGATTACGACCGACGACGACAACGACGACGTCGACGACCCACGACGACGACCAGAGACCGATGACGACGACGACGTCGACGACCAGCGACGACGACGACGACGACGACGACGACGGCGACGACGACAACGGCGACGACAACGACGACGACGACCGACGACCGACGATCGACGATCGACGATCGACGACGACTGACAACCTCGTCGTCGTCGTCGTCTTTGTCGCCGGCCGTGGCGATGGCGATGGTGGTCGTCGTCGTTCGTGGTTAGTCGTCCATGGTGGTCGTGTTCATGGTCGCCGTGGTGGTGGTTGTCTTGGTCGCAGTCGTGAACGTCGAGGTCGTAGTCGTCGTCGTGGTCGGGCATCTTCGTCTGTCGTGGTCATGGTCGTCATCATGGTCGTCGTCGTAGCCGGTCGTCTGCGGCAGTCGCGGGGGGCGGGGCACAGCCAGGGAACCGCACAGGCGCCCCCCAAGGTGCCCCGAGGCAGCCCAGCAAGTCCGCAGGATGGCCACACGGTGGGCTCCAAGACTGCACCGAAGACGGCCCGTTACGACCCCATGCTGGTCCCAAGGCCAGGATTTCTCAAGATGGCTTATGAGGGTCGCAAAATGGCCAAAGTTTGCCTCCAGGTGGCCCAGCACTGCCCAGAAGCGCAGGGACCTGGAGGCCGAGCGTCGACTACACGTAAGAGTGACCCGTCGCCAGAGTGACCTTTTGTGCGGGCCTGCTGGGGCCCCCCGATCGCCGAGTGCGATGCGATTGTGGCGTCTGGCGCGCTTGTGTGTTGGCCCCCCCGCGGCTCCCAAAACAGCGGCGCACCAAAGGTCACTCTTATCCAGGGTCACTCTTGCGTGTAGTCGAGGGAGGAGAGGAGAGGAGCGGAGAGGACAGGAGAGGAGAGGAGAGGAGAGGAGAGGAGGAGGAGGAGGAGGAGGAGGAGGAGGAGGAGGAGGAGGAGGAGGAGGAGGGAGGAGGGGAGGAGGAGGAGGAGGAGGAGGAGGAGGGAGGAGGAGAGGCGGAGGAGGCGGAGGAGGAGGGGGAGGAGGCGGAGGAGGCGGAGGAGGCGGAGGAGGCGGAGGAGGAGGATGAGGAGGAGGAGGAGGGGGGAGGAGGAGGAGGAGGAGAGGAGGAGGAGGAGGAGGGGAGGGAGGAGGGAGGAGGAGGAGGGAGGAGGAGGAGGAGGAGAGGAGGAGGAGGCGGCGGGGAGGAGGAGGAGGAGGAGGAGGAGGAGGAGTGGAGGGATACGGGGAGCGATGCTGTGAGTGAGTTCTCAGTTGTGAACGTGTCGTAGCCCTCTGTCGCAAGGGCATTGTTAACACCCTGAGTGGAGCTAGCACAGTACTCGTGCAGCTTTCCGCCACCAGTCAGCGCCAGGGGATCAGGGGCAGCGGGGAGGAGGAACACCCCTCCTCCTCCTCCTCCTCCTCCTCCTCCTCCTCCTCCTCCTCCTCCTCCTCCTCCTCCTCCCCTCCTCCTCCTCCTCCCTCCGCCTTTTTCTCCTCCTCCTACCGTCCTCCCCAGGGCCCACGGAGGCAAAGGCGGTGTGCACACTCCTCCCTCCTCCCTCCTCCTCCCTCCTCCCTCCTCCCTCCTCCTCCCTCCTCCTCCCTCCCTGCCGCCCCCGCCAAGAGGGAGGGCGTGCGGGTGTGCGCGCCGCCTCTCCCTCGGCCTCCGCCTCCCCTGCCCTCCCAGCCTCCACCGCCCCCCCGCCCTCCCCTCCCTGGCGCCCCCGAGGCCGAGGGAGGCGGCCATCCTCGCCTCGACGGCCTCGGCGGCCTCGGCGCTCTCGCCTCGGCGCACCTCGGCGCTCTCGGCTCGGCGGCCTCTGCTCGGCGGCCTCGCCTCGGCGGCCTCGCCTCGGCAGCCTCGGCTCGGCGGCCTCGCCTCGGCTCGGTGGCCTCGGCCGCCGTCGGCGGCCTCCAGTGCGCGGGCCCGGCGTCACAGCTCGTGCACCGCACGCGCGCGCCCACCGCGCACCCGGCGAGAGCGACACGCAGTCGAGACGCGGTGACGTGAGCCTCTTTGGGCCGAGGAGGGGCTCAGGTTTCCAGGCCGCTCCGTGGATCCAGGTCGGGGAATGCATCCGCGGCCGAAGCTCGCCGTGGCCAGAGAAGCGCCTCCGTTCCTCTCTTGGTATGGTCGCACGGTGACTGCACTTCACGCGGGCGGGGAGCACCGTGCACCGCCGATCTGCAATTCTCTTTCTCTCTCTCTGTGACTTTTTCCGCGACCATTCTGTGGTGCTGGGCCTTGGTTTTGAAGAGACAGCGCCCCGCATCTCCTCCTCCTCTCCTCTCCTCCTTCCTCCTCTCCCTCCTCCCTCCTCATCCCAATCCTCCCCTTCCTGCCTCTGCACCCCGCACCCAGTACAGCACTGCGTGGCCCCATATGGGAGCTCCACCGAAGGCCCCATTGGCGATGTTCGCATGCGTGCCCCCCACCCAATACTGCGCTTCGTGGCCCCATAGGGAGCTCCACCGAAGGCCCCAGTGGCGGTGGTCGCATACGTTTCCCCTACCCAGTACCAACGCTGCGTGGCCCCATAGGGAGTTCCACCGAAGGCCCCAGTGGCGGTGTTCGCATTCGTTTCCCCCACCCATGTCAGCCTTTCGTGGCCAAGGCCCCAGTGGTAGTGTTCGCATGCGTTTCCCACTCCGTACGAAATTTCGTGGTCCCATAGGGAGCTTCACCGAATGCCCCAGTGGCGGTGGTTGCAGGCGTTTCCCCCGCCCAGTACAACGTTGTGTGGTCCCATGGAGAGTTCCACCGAAGGCCCCAGTGGCGGTGTTCGCATGCGTTTCCCCCGCCCAGTGCAGCGTTTCGTGGCCAAGGCCCCAGTGGTGGTGTTCGCATGCGTCCGCCACACCCAGTACAGCGCTTCTTGGCCCCATAGGGAGCCCCACCGAAGGCCCCAGCGGCGGTGGTCGCAGACGTTTCCCCTCACCCAGTAAAACGTTGCGTGGTTGATAGGGAGCTCCACCGAATGCCCCAGTTGCGGTGTTCGCATGCGTTTCCCACTCCGTACGAAATTTCGTTGGCCCATAGGGAGCTTCACCGAATGCCCCAGTGGCGGTGGTTGCAGGCGTTTCCCCCGCCCAGTACAACGTTGTGTGGTCCCATGGGGAGTTTCACCGAAGGCCCCAGTGGCGGTGTTCGCATGCGTTTCCCCCACCCAGTGCAGCGTTTCGTGGCCAAGGCCCCAGTGGTGGTGTTCGCATGCGTCCGCCACACCCAGTACAGCGCTTCTTGGCCCCATAGGGAGCCCCACCGAAGGCCCCAGCGGCGGTGGTCGCAGGCGTTTCCCCTCACCCAGTACATCGTTGCGTGGTTGATAGGGAGCTCCACCGAAGGCCCCAGTTGCGGTGTTCGCATGCCTTCCCCCCACCCAGTGTAGCGCTTCGTTGCTTCATGGGGAGCTCCACCGAAGGTCCCAGTGGCGGCCTGGCCCCATTGCGGCTCACCCCTCGCACGTTTCGCGGCCCCATGGTGGGTTCCGCTAAAAGCCCCAGTGGCAGCGCCCACATGGCGGCCCCGCCCCATATCGGCACACTTTTCGCATGCTTCATGGCCTGATGAGGAGACCCCCCGAAGGCGATGCCCGCAACGACAGTAATCACAACAGCATATGATTGGGTCCTTCGCCAGGATAATGTGTGTTCTTTTCTTAATTTCCTGATTTTCTTTTTTTTCTCTCTCTCTCTCTCTCTCTTTATCCTTATCTTTCTTTCTTTATAGCTTTTTTTTTGTTTCTCTCTCTCTCTCTCTATCTGTCCTCTCGCTCACACTCTCTCTTTCTCTCTCTCTCTCTCTCTCTCTCTCTCTTTTAGAAGAAGAGCACATATGTATAGTGAAAGGAGTAACACCTACGTGAGCTCAAACTTTAGGGGCTCCACGCGGATTCCTCGGATCGGCGCTGGACACCCCTGGCGGCGCCTCCCGCGCTGGCGGGGTTTCTGCGCCGATCCGTTCGATCCACGCGGACTGCCGAACAGATATCTTCATGCAGTTTCTCCTGAAGCGCTTTGTGAGAAGTAATGCCAATGTTTCCATGCTTTCTCTTCGTTCCGTGCCAGCTCCAGAGACGAGGGCCGTGAGATGTTCTGGAGCTCACGGGGCGCATCCTGAGCCGGCATCGCTCTCGTCCCGGTAAGTTCGCCCAGCCGGTGGCGACGAGCCTCCAGATCCCTCGCCTGCAGCCGAACGCTGTCACGAAGACCGCTCTGGGCTCGGCAGGCGCTCTTGATTCCGGCCCGGTCCTCCCCGGATCCAGGCCAGGGGAACCTGCTCGTGGCCGAGGTTCGCCGTGGCCCGAAGGAGAAGCCCTCCCTTGGCCCTTCCTGATGCGGTGCTCCCCCCGGTAGCCCGAGGGCTGCAGTGGCCGTGCAGTGCTTACAGTCGGGGCCCTGAAGAAGGAACCCTTTTCGTTGGGGAGGGGCTCCGCGTTCCTTAAGTGTTTCACAGCTTGCCTCAGGCTTTCCTCTATGCTTCCATAGGAAATCGACGTTTAACTTCTGGAAAAATGTGGCCTCGTTCCTTATTTAGGGTTCCTTAGGTCAACGCCCCGACTGTATGCGTCTCGGTCCTGATCGGGGCCCGCGGTCTGCGCGCCCGCGGCAGGTGCGCATATCTGGCCCGCAGGAGGGCGTGGAGGTCGCCCGCGACCTGGTGCAGGAGCTCCTCTCGGGCAACACGCCCGCGGCGCTGATGCCGCAGGCCCGGGAGCCGCGCGAGCGCCTTCGAAGCCCTAATTGCCGCAGAAGTCCATCTTCGCCACGGGATCTGCCCCGAGGTCCTGGGCTGTTCTGGGCCTGTGGGGGCCCTCGCCAGGCCCGGGACCGTCCAAGGGCGACTCGGGATGAAGAGCCAGCCTCGGGGAAGGGTCGGAGACCTCTGGGGACTCCGCATTGAAGAGTCAAGTCCTTGCCTGTTTGGGCCCTTGCGGAAGATTTGCCACGCGGGCAGGTGCTCGCATTCTCGGTCCTGGCAATGGGCGATTCGGAGCAGCTTGGACGGATCATAGGTTCGCGAACGGCTGTTGTGGGGTACAGTCGGGGCCCTGAAGAAGGAACCCTTTTCGTTGGGGAGGGGCTCCGCGTCCCTTAAGTGTTTCACAGCTTGCCTCAGGTTTTCCGTCGGTTTTCGATGGGGACATCGACGCTTAACTTATGGAAAAAGGGGCCTCGTTCCTTATTTAGGGTTCCTTAGGTCAACGCCCCGACGGTATGCTCGCCAGCGTGGGCCCTCTGGGCCGTCTTGGGGGCCTCCTGAGCCGTCCCGCAGCCATCCTGAAGGACTCCTGGGCGCTCCGGGGGCGATCTTGGAGGCCTCTCGTGCCGTCGTGGGCTTTCGGCAGGCAGGGCAAATGCGAATGCCAACATCTGCCAAAGACTTAATGGCAAATTATGGATTTCGACCTTTTGGGGGCCTTCCTGGAGGACCTCTTGGGGGCCTCGTGGGCCGTCTTGGACGCCTCTTTGGGGCATATCAGGGCGTCTTGGGTCATCTTGAAGCCAGCGTGGGCCGTCTTGGTGGCTTCTTGGGCGGACGTGGGAGTATCTTGGTCCCTCTTGGCCCGTCTGGGAGACCATCTTCTTGAACTTGGAGGCCATATTGGGCCATCCTGGCCGTCTTGGAGGCCATCTGGGGGCCGCTTTGCGCGGGACGACCAACGGGCGACGCAAATTCCGGGTGGCCGGCGCGCTGTGCCAAAGCCACAGTGGGAGCTCTAATGTAGGACCAACAACCTCCTGAAATCCAGCAAGCCAGGCACCCCTGTGGCAAGACCACATGGGGGCGGCGGATCGAACCCGCCTACGGCGAATCACCGCAACTCCCGGCCTTTTGAAATCACCCATGTGGCCGAGCGTTGTGGCAAGGGCTCTGCCAAGCTATCGGACCATGTGTTCCCCCCCTTCGGGGAACACTTGGGGGAGGATGGCGGGGAAGATCAGGAGGAAGAGGAGGAGGAAGAGGAGGAGGAAGAGGAGGAGGAGGAGGAGGAGGAGGAGGAGGAGGAGGAGGAGGAGGAGGAGGAGGGGGCATCTTGGGAGCCCCTGGGAGCACTTTTGGGGCACGCTTGGGACCTCGTTTGAGCTTCCTGGGAGCCTCTTGGAGGCATCTTGGGGGCCTCCTTGGGCCTCTTGCGGTCCCTTGGGGGCTTCTCGGGGGCCTCTTTGGCAGTCTTGGTGGCTCCTGGCCCGTCTGACGCCGTCGGAAACTATCTTGAGGGCCTCTCTGGGCCGACTTGGGGCCCTCTTGGGGTGCTCCAGGGCCATCTTGGAGGTCATCTTGGGCGTCTTGGAGGCCTCATGGGCCGTCTTGGGGCCCTCTTGGGGGCGTCTTGGGGGCCTCTTCGGCCGCTCTGGGACCATCTTGGAGGCTTCTTGGCCGATCTTGGGGCGATATCCGTAAGGGCTTCGCCCCCTGCCGCCGGCCCCCTCTCTCGGAGAATGGGCCATGTAAGAGCTAAGTCATGAGGCCTTGGTGCTGTCGTGGCTAGACTCGCTTGTAGAGTTAAGGTATATTCTCCCCCAATGGTATTATCGGTAAGGTAGAAAGCGCTTTCTACCTTAAAACGGAGAATAAAAACTTAAACTCTAAAAATCCCAAGATCAGCGCAGGTGCTTGGTAGTATTACGTATGTTTGATCGTTGCGCTTGGTCGTTCGATATGTTGTGTGTTGACAGTCGCGTATATAGTTGAGGTTTGCAAAACAAGCTTGCGCTGTACAACTGGTGCACAGTGTCTCCAGCGAAGACGCACTGCACAACTTCAACGCATTGTTCGGATGTCTCAAGCGAAAACGTTGCACGTCTGGAAAGCATTGTGCGGATGTCTCGAGCGAATGCGCCCATTACAAATCTGCACTGTGGACAATTTGCCCAACGTTGCACTTAATTCGCATTCCGTGCTCACAACACTCCGCGTTTGGTGCCCCGATGGGAATCTGCTCACAACAACCCGTGCTCACGACAAGCCGTGATAACATCCATCCGTGATTGGTGGCACAGCCATCCGTGCTCACAGCAATCCGTGCTCACAGCAATGCGTGCTCACATTAGTCCGACTTCATCGTGGACAGGTGCTCACAACAATTCGTGATGTTCCAGCGTGGCACTTAAACATCCCAGTGAAACAACATCCGTTGCCCTATTTTGGTTCAAACTTGTTTAACTCTCAGTTTCACGTTTCACTCCCCACCCCGTGCTGTTCGGCGATTCCTTGGCCGGCGGGGATGGATGACGAGGTGTGTGGTGACGGCGGCGACGATGGCGCTGAGCACATGTGCGTGCCTGCGCTGCGTCCGATGCATCGTGGGCGGCTGGTCCTGGAAGGCAATTCCACAGTGTTCTTTATCTTCGGCGAGTCTGGAGGTTTGTGGTCCAAGCCGTACCGCCGCGCGTCACCACCAAGTCGGTTCGACGACGGCACGAGGCGTTTCTTCGGCGTTGCTTTGGGGAAGTGGAAGCTTCTCAGCACCGCAGCAGCTCAGCAGATTCAGGACCAACCTGGGGGCCATGGGCATGGTGATCTGATCATTGGCTCGTGTCTTCATGATGCTCGGCGCTTCCAGATATCAGGCGCATTGGTTCACATAGCCCACGCGACGATCGAGCTGGACAGACCCATCGATAGTGAAGCGCAGAACTCAGAGGATATTCTTAATTTGCTGGATCGGAACCCTTGTACGTATCACAATGACGGGGTACAGGGCGACACTGTTGGAGCATGGCGAGATGTGTGGGATTCGTTGATGCGCACATGCCCAAATGCTCCTCACTATTGCCCACTGGTGTTATGCTCGATGTTAGCTGTCGGAGTTGTTTCTATGATTCAACCTGTGTTCAATTGTGATGCTGTGAAGTGCCGCTTCAGACAGACTCTGCATTTTGGTCCGAATGCTCGGTCTTTGCGATTGTTTCGTCGACTCAACCCTCCTCGTGTGCAAGACGTTGCGCCAGAGCCAGCTCTACCTTCTCGTGGTCGGTCAGCTCGTCGGCGATTGCCTGCTAGCATCACTATACAATGGCTGGGTGTTTCTTCGACCTTACGATCACTACGGCACAGGTGGAAGCCTGGGGTTCATTGGAGTCGTCTCTTCGAACGCTGCGCTGGTGTTGAGCACGGTTCGTTGCACCAAGTTCTTCAACACATTCGTACAGAAACGCTTCGGACTGCACGGGTGCGATTAGATTGGACATGCATGGGCCTCACTCGTCTTTTTTACGGGACGCTCGATTGGCGATCCATCGACGTGTACCTGTACATAGACAGCAGCCCTCAGGGCAGGGGCTGGGAGATGCAGGCGGCAAGCTTCTTGATACGGAGAAATGGGGTCGACATGAGAAGACGAATGTTTTCGCCGCTGCTTCTGAAGCGTTCTCAGTTGAGCGCTTTCCACAAAACTGTAGCACTCGTTTGGCAAATATATTTATCTTTCGGAGGCTCCGTGGACTCCATGAGGCGGTTTTGCCACAGAGTTCGCGGAATCGTGAGTGACATGGGCACGGAATATATGATATCCAAGATGAACGACGTGTTGCCAGATGTGTTTGCCATGATGGGGTACCGTCACCGAGTTGCCAGAGAAAAACTTTTATTCCCTCGGTCGCTGATTATCCCTGGATGGCGGCATAAGGTCGACGTGCTGATTCGCACAGGCGTGCACTCGCTGCGCTGGTTTCCGAGGTTTCTAACACGGGTCAAGGCGTTGATCTCTTTGTTCAGGGACGAGGACATTCGGGCCACAATTCCCCACATCCCCATCACCACTTAAAAGCAATGTAAGAACATAGGGGGAATGTTTGGGGGAGTACCAATTCGAACAATGAGGGGGGGCGTTCGATACGCACGAACGTAGATGAGGTGGCTTTCTAGGGCGGCGGGGGCCAAGGGGTTGAAGGCGAAGGAGGCGCGCGACAAGCTTGAACACGACATGGTGTAATACTGCGCCCCCCCGCCGAACCCTTCAACGTGAATCCGTGGACCACCGCCGCCCCCGCGTTCTCCTTCACCCTTCTACTCCGTGCCCTCTCCGCCCCGCCTCCGTTGTTTAGCGCACCCCCCCGTTGTGCCCCTCGCCCTTCCGCCCTGGCTGGCACCCCCCCCCCCGCGAAAACCTATAGATATAACATAAGTTCTCTGTCGGCTGGCCACGGCGGCCTCGGCTACCCTTCGAATGGATGCGACCGACTTGCGCATTCAAAAATCAGTTCGCCTGGCCCCTCGGAGGCAGCAGCGGCCTCACCCCCCCAACCCCTTTTTCAATCACACCCACCCCCAAGTCGATTGGCTCGTGACTAGAAGCACTGGGAGGACGAGGGATGAGGGGAGGGCCGAGGAGGCAGGAGGGAGAGAAAGACTGAGACGAGTGAGGAGGAGGAGAAGGAGTTTTGTTTGTTCAGGCACCGTCAGGGCATCAGAGACACCTTGGCCACGCACTGGCGAGGGGCTGGCCTCAACGGCCTGGCCGCGCTCATGGCGAACGTGTCGCTCCCTGCGTTCACCGACTGGCGTTGGAAGAAACTCAAGGAGTGCTTGGACGGCCTGAACGGTTTTATCTGGTCTGTCAGGGGCCATTTCGACCGTCAGGCGTTGGGCGACGTGAGAGACCGAGTGCGGGTAGATCAAGTGCTCGGCGCGCTGGCCAGCCCATCATTTGAATACGAATTCGAGCTCATCCATTGGTTTGCATCTTGGATGGGGCGCCTGATGGCATTTGCAGGGTATTGCCCCTGCCACCCTGAGAAGTGGAACACGGGCGAGAAGTTCTCATGCGAGAGAACGGGCTGCGTCCTGGGGCTGGCCTTTGACTATTCTATGGCTGCTCTCAGGGCGGGAGTGGCCGAGGCCAACTCATGGTCAGCTGACCGATTCGGCCCTTATCCCCATCTCGCGCGGGATGGACAGGGCATGGCCAGGGCTACTCTCGCACTCGGTGCATTGAAGGTGAAGTTCCTCGATGACCTCCCGTACCTTATTGGGAGACTGGGCCAGCCAGGCATTAAGGATAAGTGCCTGATCTTGTACAACCGCCACCCTCCTGAGCACCACGACTCCACGACCCTGGCTGTATTGCAGCCAGGCACTGCGCTTCGAGCTGCAGTGGACGCCATGGGCAGCGACGGCAGCAACATGTCGCCGTCGCTGCAACGCGAGGTCGACTCCATTATGTTCGCCCCGCTGGACGACACGATCGCAGAAGGGCCGCATGCGCTGAGTCGACATCAATATCTTAGGGCCCGTCGGGCTACATTCCCTTGGATTGCGAGCAGCATGCGCCTGGATGACAACCTGATTGACGTTCATGATTATGCGACTGCCATCGGCGCAAACTTGGACGCGCAGTGGGACGGCGCCGCGGCAATACTCCGCCCGCCTGGACGGATCTCCCGATCCCACTCTGCCGTGAAGGTCAAACGAGCTCAAGCTGAGGGTTTGACCTACACAGCGAAGCACTTAGAGGGCATTCGCTTTGGCATGGCTGGACACTGTGGCGAGGGCCACGGCGGCGGCGGCGCTCCTGGCCCAGGAGGCGGTGGAGGCGGAGGCGCTGGCGGCGGCGCGCAGCCCGACGACTTGGGCGACCAGGAGCCGAAGGGCCCCAAATACTAAACGTAAACGGCATGAGAAGGAGGAGGAGGATGAGGAGGACGGACGGTGAGGATGGATGTTTAGCAGGAGGGAGGACGAGGAGAAGGATGAGGAGTGCTCCCTCATTCCATCCGCTCAGCGTCGTTCACCATCCTTGTCCTACTCGCTCCTGGTCACACTTCCTTCGCTTTTGTCGCTGGCCGTTTGCTTGTGATCCCTGGAGGACGGCGGTGATGACGATGCTGGAGGCGGCGATCCAGGCGGCGGCGACGGGCCGACTGGCGACCGCCACCCTGGCGGCGGCCCTCCCCTTGCAGCAAAGAAGGCGCCTGTGGAAGGCTTTGCTCCTGGGGAGGGCAGCTTGTTGGCAGACTACTTGAGCAGGACGCTGGTGCCGCACCGATACTACTCAGTGCAAGTCGATGTCGACTACGATGATCCAGACGACAATCGCGGGAAGTTGTTCTTCCAAGTGTTGAGCCTCAAGGTGCAGGCCAAAGTGATTAAGACAGTCTCGATGGAGCAGCCAAGCCATGAGACGTTCGTGGTGCATGTCCAACTACTAGAGCCAATGAGCGACCCGATTGGTGACGTGGTGACCGCATATTGCATTGAAGACCCTATGGGTCTTGACTTGTTCGTGTACCTCGATGCCTCACGCGAGTCTAGACAAAGGCTCAGCATTTGGGAGATCAGGGACAGCGACATCGACGATTGCGTGGCATTGCACAGCGCCGCTGTGGCGAAGCCATCTGGCGAGAAGTTTTCGTGGCCCGTGCTGGCGCTCATTGATGAGCTCGACGACAATGGGTGGCGCCGTGAGCTTGCTCCTATAGAGTACAAGGATGTTGCCTCATCGTCGCAGTACGACGGCCGCGCGGTGCGGGTCGGCAGGCGGCATTATTATCTGTGCGTGCTCTGTTTGGGCACCCTGTTCGAGAAGGGCGCCGCTCCGTTCAAGTCCACGGAGCCAGATGCATTCTACCAGTTGTTGATCAAGTACCCGAGCAAAGCAGTGGCTGGGAGAACCGCTAAAGAGATCAAGGCAATATTGAACGGCCTGGAGGATGACGGTGCTTTGACTCATGCCACCGTCGACCGCCCCTCCAAGAAGCTGAAACCAGCGGCGGCGCCAGCTCTGTCCGATGAGGTTGTGGGCGACGACGGGGCAGATCCAATTGAGGACATCGTCGACGGCGGCGTCGACGCCGATCCACCTCCCGTCCTTGGCGCAGCTGATGACGATGATGTTGCAGGTGATTGCGGCGAGGAGGTCGGAGGGGACGGCGGCCCAACGGGTGATGAGCCACCTCCCGTAGCCGACGCTCCAGCTCCACCACCAGCTCCCCTTGGCGGCGCCCCTGCAGGCCCCGCGATCGGAGTCCCGCACTTCATCGACGGCCAGCGCGTCACGTACGAGTCGCACGTGATGCCGTCGGGAGCCCGTCACGAGGGACTACGAGTTCGTTGCTCGAACCCTGGTCACGGCGCATGCCGATGCTTCCGATCGACCAGGGTCGACGTCGAGAAGTACGGGCCGCGGGCCGCTGAGTACTTCCTGGGGGCCTGGCTTCGCCTGGCCCATGGAGCGGCCACCAAGGCCGCGCACAGGAAGCCTCGCAGAGAGGAGATTGACGCGTATGCACTGGATCATCCTTAACCTTTGCACTGAAACGGCTCCGTCATCCGTCCTCCGTCCTCCGCTCTCCCTCCCCCTTCCTTCCTCATCTCCATTCCTTCCTACATCCTCACTCTGCCCTTCCTCCTCGTCCTCGTTCTACTGATCCTCCTATACTCCTGTCATCCTCCTCCTCGTCCCCCTCATCCTCCTCCTCCGCGTAGGCTGATTGGAGGAGGGGGAGGGGGAGAAGAAGGAGGAGGAGGAGGAGGAGGAGGAGGAGGAGGTGGAGAAGGATGATACGATAAAGGAGGATGGGGATGAGGAGGAGGAGGGTAAGAAGGATAATGAGGAGGAGGTGGAGGAGCACGATAAGGAGGATAAAGAGGCGGAGGAGGAGGATAGCAGACAGGGATAAGGATGAGCAGCAGGAGGAAGATGAGGATAATGAGGAGGAGGAGGAGGATAAGTCGGGGGGGAAATGAGGAACACAGAGGAGGAGGAGGAGGAGGAGGAGGAGGGGGAGGAGGAGGAGGAGGAGGAGTGACAGAAGGAGGAGAATGGGGGAATGGGAGGAGGGGGATGAGCAGGAGGAGGGGGGGGAGGAGAGGAGGAGTAGCGGGATGCTTCGTATTCGCACCACCGCAGTCTGCCCACCACATATCGGCGGCATGGTGTCTTGTGTTTGCAGCAACGTTGGCCGACGCTTACATGTTTCTCATGTTGGCGACTTGTTCTTGCGATCGGTTGGAGAGCCGATCGCAAGAACAAGACTTTATTTGATAAGCCTTCGGCTGTCTCCGTCAACCCGTGCTCGCCCAACCAGGGCGAGAACCGATATCCGACGCACTTGGGCTCGCGACGGCCCCCTGGGTAGGAGGGTGGGGAGGGTAGAGGGGGGAGGGGCGTCTGCCCTTTATGACGATAGCAATAGGGCCCGAGTGGCCCTGCCATAACCAAGTGGCGTAAAACATGTTTCAACCCAGTGGGGCGCTACTGCGTAACCATAGCCCAAAATATATGATGCACGCGCGGTCGGACTTCGGCCGAATCGGCGGCGCACGTCTTTGATGCTTCGCGCGGCCCCAACGCGAAAGCAACCCGCGGCCGCGGCCATGCGAAACGGCATTGGGACACCCCACGCGCGGCATGATAGGGCGTGGGGGTACCAATGCATTGCCACGCGCGGCAGTCACAAGCGAAGGGCGCGCGCCGCGCGCGACAAATGCTTCAGCGCGCCTCCAGGTGCAACGGGGCGGGGATAGGGGCGAGGTGGGCACTGGGGGGAGGGCGGTGGGCATGTGTGAGTGGGACGGGGGGGTGGGGTCAGTCGGCGCCGCGGTTGTAGTGTCGTACTGCGGCGGTGATGCAAGCAACAGCGCTATGTGCAGGGCTATTTCGCGGTTGTGGTTGTGATGGGTGGGTGCGCCAACGTGCGTGCGTGTGTGCGTGCGTGCGGGTGTGTGCGTGAGAAGGTCGGCGCGTGCATGTCTTCGTTTGGGACATGGCTTGGTGCTGGACGTGGCCAGCGAGAAGTGGGGTGGTTGGTTGGGTTGGGGTTGGGCGGCGTATGCGGGTTGTGTGGGATGGGGTGGCGATGGTTGTCGTGCGGGTGGGGTGCTGGCGGGGCGGGTGGGGGGTGGGTTGGCGGGGTGGGGCGGGGTGGTGTGATGGTTGGTGGTGGGTGTGGTGGGCGGTAGGGTCGTGTGCGTGTGGGGTAGTGGGGTGGGGCGGGGTGGGAGTGCGTGCGTGTGTGTGAATGGGGGGTGGGGTGGGGGTGGGGTGGGGTGTGTGTGGTGGCGCGTGTGCGTGTGCGTGTGTGTGTCTGGGTGGGGTGGGGGGGTCTGGGCCGACGGTGCGCGGGCGCCGACAGCAACGCGATGGCAGAACGAATGCGCGGTGGTGGCGCGCGGTGGATGCTGCTGGCTCGTCGACAAGTGAAGCGCGCAGCGCTTTTCTCGAGCGCCCAAGTACCGCTCGACTTCTTGCGATGCAACATTCCGATGCCGTCCAGGTTTCAAGGGCGCAGCCCTACGCCTGATTCGTGCAAGGGGAGGGGGTTGCCCGCTGTCGTTAACCCATTGCGAACATGACCTGGGGCGCGCCAAGCACGCTGCGCATTGTCGTGACCCTGGCGTCGGCGGGGCGCCGCGCTCGGGCCTGGCGGCGCGCCGCGCCGCGAGGCCAGTGACCCGCCCGCCTTGGAAGTGCGGCGATTGGTGCGTGCGCTCTCAGCGATGCGGCCGCATCGGCAATGACCTTTTGGATTCGATTGGCGGGGCTCGCTGGCATCTGCGCATGGAACTGGCTATCTGCGCCGCGGCCCGCCCACCCTCAACGCGCCCCGCGGGCCAGCCAGTGCCCGAGGTGGGCGCGACAGCGTGTGATCTGGCTGCGCTGCACATGGGCAGCGGCCCCCACCATGCGCGCGGCTTGGTCGCGTCGAAGCTAAAACCGACATCGCTGGCGTCGTGCAGTCCTTTGCGCTGGCACAGTTCAGGGGGGCACGCTGCGTGCATCAATCAAGCGCGGGAGGCGGTATGTTGGTGGTGGCGTTGATGGCGGCGTGTACGGGTGAGTTGGCGGTTCGGTGGTGAGCGTGCGTGTGCGTGTGGTTGTGCGCGCGTGCGCGCGCGGTTGTGGTCATAGTGCGTGAGGTGGGCTTGGGGGTTACGCGTTTGTGGGTGGGTGGGCGGAGGTTCGGGCGGTGTGTGTGTGTGTGTGTGTGCGTGCGTGCGTGTGTGTGTGTGTGTTGTGTGTGTCTGTGTGTGTGTGTGTGTGTGTGTGTGTGGGGGGGGGGGGGGGGGGGCGTGGGGGGCGTCGCGCACGTGTGTGCGTGTGTATGTGAGTTCGTGTGTGTGTGTGCTTGTGTGTGTGGGTGTGCGCGTCGTGGTGGTGGCGGCGGCGGCGGTGGCGCTTGGGGAGGGGGGGGAGGGGGGGGGGCGCGCGCGCGCGCGTTGGATGGGGTGGGCGCGGCAGGGGGAGACAAGGGGGATTGCGCGATATGTGGGTGGAAAATAAACGGTGGCGCGGGTGGGTGGTAGGTGGTAGGCTAAGGTTGGCGGACGGGGTTGGGTGGTGGTGGTGAGTTGGGAATGGGGCGGGGCGGTGGCGCGCGCGTGCACATGGTGGTGGTGTGTGTGTGTGTGTGTGTGTGTGTGTGTGGGGTGGGTGGGTGGGTGGGTGTGTGTGTGTGCGGGTGGGAGGGGGGTGTGGGGGGTGGGGGGTGGGGGGGGGGGCAATGGTGGTGGTGGTGGTGGTGATGGTGGTGGTGGTGAGGCGGGTCAGCGGGTGATTTGGGGGTGGGGTGCGTGGTGGCGGCGCGCGCGCGTGCGCTGGGTGGGCAGCTGGCTGGATGGGGGGGGGGTCGGCGTTCGGGAAACGGGTGGCGCCACTTGCCTTTATGCTCGCGCGACCAACGCGTGAGACTGCATTGGGCGAGGACGTTGGCCAGGCGATGTCCCACGCAACCCCTCCTACACGCGCGCGTGCGTTGCCCACCCGCAAGCAGCGCCCTGCTGCAATGTCGGCGGCGCATTCATTTGCGGCGCTCGGCAGGCCGCGTTGGCGCGTGCCGACGTTTGCGTTGGGGAGGCGCGGCCACGCAGCAGCTCCGCGCGGTGACGGCTGCGCGCGCGCCTGGGCGGCCTCGCTTGTCACGGCAACTGGCGCATGCCCCGAGCCGCGACCGAACTGCAACCCCAAAAAGCGCCAGCGCGCGCCCCTGGCAACGCGCCGAGGGCCGCCGCGGCGGCTTAAATTTTCGACTGCGGAGCTCAAGGTGGTATAATATTTTGCGCTGACGACGCTGGGGACGCAATATTATTTGAATAATATTTTGTGAGGAAATCCAACTAAGGTAATTTAGCCCGCGCGGCGCATTTGCGGCCGCCCCAATGGCATATGCAATTGCTTTGAACCGCAGAACCACGCCGCCGCGGTTGCGTTATGAATGCAAAAGTGCCAAGGTTTTCCTTTTTACCATAAACCACCAGAAACCACCATAAACCACCACAAACCAAACATGAACCACTGGCTTAATTAACATAAACCACCATAAACCACCTTAAACCACCATAAACCACTGGCTTAATTAACATAAACCACCGCAAACCACCTTAAACCACCATAAACCACTGGCTTAATTAACATAAACCACCGCAAACCACCTTAAACCACCATAAACCACTGGCCTAATTAACATAAACCACCGCAAACCACCTTAAACCACCATACACTACCGACGGCCAAGTACGATGCAGCGCAGCAGCGCTGCGCGCCAAGCTGCCAACCTGCGCCAGCGCGGCAGCTGCATTGCGCAAGCGGTTGGCAACGCGTCATTCTTCTTATTGTTGCCGACGCGCCCACTTGCCCATCGCGGTGAACCGCGCGCCATCACGACTTTGCACGTCGCGCACGTTAGTTGCGACGCCGTGGTGCCACTTGCAAGCGAACAACAATCGCGTCGTGTGCGTCGGTGCCGAGCAGGGCCGCGCTGCGACTAGCGCCGCTGCCCCCCCCCCCCATTTATTCATTCTTGGTGTTGCGACTAGCGCCGCTGCCCCCCCCCCCACCCACCCCCCCACCCACCCCACCCCCCACCCCGCCACACGCGCAATGCACGACACGCGCGCGCACACACGCACACGGGCGCACACGCACTCACACACACCACGCACACGCACACACCACACACACACTCGCACACCACACCACACACACGCACCCCACCCCCTCCCCCCCCTCCCCCCACCCCACCCCCCCCCCCCAAACACGCTCATTACACACGCGCGCGCCCGGCAACCACCACCACCACCACCACACCTCTTTGCCCCCCCCCACCACCGCCCCCTCGCACCACCCCCCCGCCCCCGCCCGCCATCAACCTGCGCGCGCCGCGACCGCCGCCGCCGCTGCGCGCGCGCTCTCGCGCGCGCCCGCTCGCGCGCAAATGCGCGCGCGCGTCCTGTGCGCGCGCGCCTTGCTCCATGCGCGCGGAAACCAACTGCGAATGATCCCCAAACCACCGCGCGCCGCCCGCC